CGATGACAAAATATGGAAGATGCTACTACTGCTTTATATTTAAAGTGACACTAAACTTTAAATCTTAACGTACTCAAGTACCTGAACTATTTAAAAAAACGTAGCTCATCTATGCATCACTCGGCTGTAGATCCTCAAATCATCTCAGAATTCATACCGACACTGTCCTTCCTTCAGGAGGGGGGCTACTTTTGTCCCCCATGGTCCCTGTGTGTGTTGTAAAGTAGTCACTGCTCCAAGCTCACTCCCGTGATGGACTACAATCTCAATACAAATTAGTAAACTAAAAATGAGATTGAAGTCCATCACAGGAGTGATCTTGGAGCGGTGACTACTTTACAACATACACCGAGACCATGGGGAACAAACGTAGCCACCCTCTAGAAGGAAGGACTGGAGTGAGCTTGGGGCGGCGACTACTTTACAACACGGTAAGCGCATTTGCGTGAACGGCCCCCATAGAAATACGTGGGATTTTGATTTGCATGCATTTCACCGTGGGGAAAAAATCGTGACGACACACCCCGGTGTAAACAGGGCCTTACAAATTGTAAACAATTTTTTGCTCCTCTCCTCAGGTCACATCAGCACATTTGTGGACAAATTCAGCCCAAAAAAAAAACAAACAAAAACTGTGAGGAGGGAATGTATGCTGGGGATGCAGAGTCAAAAAACTCTTCAAATTCAGGAAACAGTCTGCCCTGTCACTTGTTTGGTGGTCTGTACCCTTTAAAGGCGGTACTACCTGCAAAGTGTGACCACAGAGGTGAAAGGAAGCGCTCCGCAACCACTTGCTAATAGCTTGGCCATGGTAGGGGCACGGCAGTTCATCAGGGATTACTTCTCAAAGGACAATGCAGGCTGCTGCCCATCTCCTAATGAGGCCTAATAGAGAAAGTGGTTTCACCCTGCTGAAAATGCAGAATGCCAAGTGTGTAAGAAATCACCAAAGTGAAGAATCAACAATTTGGCTGGGAAAATAGTTCACACAAAGATTTCAACCTTGCATTCAGCCGTTTGCATGGAGTTTTGTATGAAAAATAACTCCCCCCTGGATTCTTCAGAGGACTGCAGGTCACTGGATTAACATGTTATGCAAATCATACAATACTAGTAGCATCCTGTTATGCAAGGTCCAGAGGCTTGTGCGATGGTTTGCATTTATTATGTTTGGTAACATCCATCATAAGGTGTTAAGAGAATGATCCACATCACTTCCACCTCACCAGTGTTGCAGGGAAGAGGAGAAGTGTAATTTTATACAATCATCCACAGAATTTTTTTATGCAGAATATTTTGAAGTAGAAACCACTCAAAACATACGGCTTGTGGGACCAATCTCAAGCATTGAACAAAGCACAAATACACATTTCTCATCAAAAAGTTTTATTAAATGATAAAGCCCCCCTCGATCCCTGTAACGATTCATCTGTGATGATAGAAAAGAGTCCTTGATATACATTCCTCTAGGATTGCCATTAGCAAATGTTGTTCCATTTGGTTACTGACCAGGAAGACTCCATGAATCCTAATCACTGATCTGCTGCAAAGGTTTAAGGTCTGGTGAAACCTTTAGGAGTAAAAAGATATTGTACATTAGACATAGGAAAAGTCAACACACTCAATATATCCTCTAATTTAAAGAATCAGGAGATGCTCAACCTTCATACTTGTTATATTCCTAAAGTCACTTGCTTGCTTTCCTTAATGTGACCAAGGCATTGACTGGGGAAGCCAAATGTTTTTTTCAGTCCATATAAATGAACTTCAATTGTAAGACCACATCCCCTTACTATTTTGGATCCTAACTGGAGAAAGATGTGCACCCACAATCTACACCATTCAGTATGGTCATCGTAGTGACTTTAGGGATAAAACTTTCCATACATAGTTCAGTTGCAAACCACATATGTATATGGTTTGTTCGCAAGAGACTTGGAGGGCAAGTCACTTATGGAAAATACCACCCTGGCTTTACTAATGTGCTGTGCCTGCTTCCAGCTTAATATGTCTGCCACAGACTACAAGAAAGAATGTTTTAATACACAGGCAGGGAAAAGTAGGGCAGTTAACATGAAAGCACCAGAGGAACTTTGTTACATACCACTGGAATTTCTAAAACAAATATTTCTGTAAGTGCCAGTCAGGTGCCAACATTTATTTTGGGATGACTTGCCATTTGCTAGAACTAAAATATAAAAATAAGCAAATTGTGGGAAGCAGACTAAAGAGTGGAATCATTTTCTGGTGCTCAATTGCCACCTTGTGTCCGTTTCCAGTGGTGTATTTAGGTTTTGTGCTGCCCCAGGCAAGACTAAACTCAGGTGCCCCCAATCGAAATTTGCCCCACCCCTTCCGGTTTAGGACATTATGCTCAACCTGTCAGACGCTGGATATAGTGTGCATGCTGTTTCCAACCTGACAGGTTGTGCTATTAGCTGGATACAGCGAGCGCCTGTTTAAACAGTAACAGTTGCGCGCTGTATCACTTCTGCCAGCATCAGAGAGGAGGTTGAGCTCATTGGTGGATTTGGGTAAGGATTATTTATTTTTCTGATAATGGCAGATGTTCCTTTCACATAGAATCTGGGCTCACATAGTAAAAAAACCAAACCATATTGAGGGCTAGTTCACACCACAGTGTGTTCCGGCCCAATTTGGTGCCGGAACGCACTGGATCGCATCCCAACTGGCTCCTTGCATTCAGAGGTGGGAGGGGGCGTGACAGTGCATTGAGTCATTGGCACAGCAGCCACGCCCCCCAACCGCAGTGTGAACGCCTGCACCCAAGCGCATGGCACATCAATGCCTGCGTTATGGTCCGGTGCAGTCAGAAAAAATACAGGCATTTATGTGCCACACGTTCGGATGAGGGCGATCGCACTGCGGGCGGGGGCGTGGCAGCTGTGCCATTGACTTCAATGTACCGCCATACCCCCTCCTGCCCCTGAACGCAGGAAGCCGCCTGGAATGTGATTCGCGGCTAAATAATGGCTGCAAACAAGCGGAATCCGTGTTGTTATTCAACATATTGCGTTTGCATCGCGGTCTTCCGCACGGAAAACTGTGCAGGAATAGCAAACGCAATATGTGAATGGAGCCTTATCCTTACTTTATGGGATTTTCAGAGAAAAGACAAGGAGAAATTGCTACAGGGCAGGATCCATTCGCAGAGTACTCAGTTGCCAGGTTGTGAGGCAATCTGGGACAAAGATTAATAATGATTCAAAGTGTACACACATAACTTTCCCATGGCAGCAGATTAGGACTGATCTAAACCACCTACCAGGCCAGCCTTGCACAGATCATTGCAGATCGGCTCCTTTGTGCTCTCTACCAAGCATTCAGTCAAAGCTTAAATGGCAGGTCTGCCCCAAAGACAGTGTCCACACACGGGACCCGAAGTTTAAAGCTCCCCATGTTGCAGGCTCTTTGTGCAGGCACTTAGCTACAGCTGCTGCCGCTGACTTCTCCCGGCTGGGCTCCGTGTGCAGGGGGGATGGAGGAGGGGGACAGTGTATAATGGAAGAAGAAGGAGGCGGTGTCAGGGTCCTCGGTGTGCCATACACTTATTGCTGATGGGCTTCCTTATCTGTGTGGTCTGCGCTCAGCCTGGCAGGTGAGGTTCCGTATCACTGGTTCGGGGGCGGCCGCTCTCTGGAAAGTGCCGCTCAAGGCAAATGCCTTGTTTGCCTCGTGGCAGATACGCCCCTGTCTGTATCGACACTTATGGCCAATTTTCTGCTAACCCTTTTGGTCTACATACATTCACAGCTCTTACAGGGCGATTTTAAACTCAGCTTATGAATTATATCTAGTCAGGAGAACACTAGTCTACCGGCTAAAGGTTTATATCTTGGAATTAACTTGACAGAGGTCTTTCAACATCACCTGCTAAGGTCAGGATTGCCTCACAGACCCAGGGCCTTTGGGGTGTGCGAGCTGTGCGGCCGCACAGGGAGCCATGGCAACAAGGGCGCCAGGCGGCCGACACAGCTCGTCCTCGGGGCGGCTCCTCCTCACCGCTGACCATCCGACATGACAGTGCTCCCTCCTCATGAATGAACGAAAACTAAAAACGTTTTCATTCGTTTCATCAAACAAAACACATTATGCTATTTTGGATTCAGCCATTGGCGTGTTCTGGAGGCGGGGCGCATGACGTGATATGACACCGCACGTGTTGGGCGCCGCCATCTTGGTGTATATCTAGGTATACACCAAGATGGCGTCGCCTATATCGGCGTGTGACATCACCTGACGCCACGCACGGTGTCATGTGACGTCATGCTCCCCACCTCCAAAATGGTGGAACGCATTCGCAGAACGCACCGGTAGCCAACATGGCCGCCGCACATTCTCAAACACATTGTTATGTACATTTTTCATATATTCGGGGATATAGTAATTCATTAATTTTACACGTAGTCCGGGTTTTGTGTTCTGTTTTTAATTTTTCTTTTCTAGATGCACTTACTTAAAAAAAGGGATCGGCATGATAACCTGACACTTTATTTTTATAGACTATTTTAGTTTGACATTTGTTTACCTTCTGTTTTATTTAATAAGAAGACTTATATTGTGCCTACAAGTTTAATACCTTTGAATAAAAGTTTTATTTTTATCATACTTTTTAATAAGTTTCTTTTCGGCTTAACAAAATGGGAGCGGTGCCCTCAGACAAAAGGTTTTCATCCAAACATATCAAGCAAATTTACAAATCTTTACACCTTTTTCTTCCTACTGCTGTCCTTTGAGTTCTGTACACGACTAATCAAGGGTAGACACGGGACACACCGCATATGAAGTTACACCGATCAGTCATAATATAAGCCCTGACAGGTCAAGTGAAGAAAATGGATTATTTCATTACAATGGCATCTCGAAGTGGGTGGGTTAAATTAGGCAGCAAGTGAATATTTTGCCCCTTGAGTTGGTGTTGGAAGCACAAAAAATAAATAAATTGGCAAGCTTAAGGATTTGAGCGACTGACAAGGGCCAAATTCTAATGGCTAGGCGACTGGGTCAGAGCAACTCCCAAAAATGCAGCTCTACTAACTTGGTGCCAAATACCACAGCATATCTTTTCAGAGGTCTAGTCGAATCATGCATAAATGGGTCAGGGCTGCTTTGGTGGCAAAAGAGGGACCTACTCACTATTAGGCAGGTGGTCATAATGTTATATGTCTGATCGGTGTATATATCAAAACCAAAACAAAAAACACAAACTCTCTCCCAGGGTAACTAAAAATTGGCAAGCAGGAACTGGCAGGAAGGAGGACTGTTTAAAGGGATGCTTTTTTATATAATGTTTGAAAACACTGTTGCTTCTTCAGCACGGACCTATAGTACATTTCTGTTGTGCCAGCTTTCAAATACTGAAGGCATGAACTGTACAGACACACGTTTAGGGTTGCTGGCACCGAGTCAACCAAGACACACCTATTCAGATAATTGCAAAATTTCATAATCTTAACCCAAATTGATCACTTAGCAAGTCTGCATAAAAATGCAGATGAGGGTGAAGGATGTTTAAATACCAAGCACTCACATTAAAGTCGCTGCCTGTGCATTTCTTGATGTCGTCTACAGTAAGACCTTCACCGATCTCAATCAACGTTAGCCCGTTCTTCTTGTCCACATCAAAGACTGCCTATTACATAAGCATAGACATAAAATGTAGCTCAGTATCGGATTGAAAAATGTCAGGAAAAAAATAGCCAGGATTTCAGGAATTCTACCTGTTCATTCGGCCAAGACCCGACTCAATATCAAGATAACCATCTATACGAGTCTGGATAAAGGCATTAGCATGCAGAGGATAGCCTGGCTTACTCCTAACACTGAAGCAATATTCACACATTACATCATAAGCGGGTTGAAGGTAAATATGGCAGATTTAAAGTATAGGCATATCTTTAGACAATCTGGCATCAGCACACAAATAAGCTTACAGCTCTTAGAGAAACGCATACCGACATAAAACCTACTTTGTAACACCTTCGCTGATCAAATACTGAATTGAGTTTTAACTTCAGTTTGGATACTGGCGATATGAACTTTAACATGTCATTTATCATGACACGATGACATAATCGTTAAGTAGCAGAACGGTTTACACAGCAGACATTTAAACAAGATCATGAAAACAATCAAGTGTAGTACACATACAGCATAGAGATAAATTCCTGACATTAGATTGAACATTATAATGGTAAAACAGATTATACCGGCTCTCCACTTTCAGCATGGACGTGCTGGTGACACAGGTGCTCCCAGATTTGAATGAGAGGAGCGGCTGGCAGAATGGGGTTAATTTTAGCACTTAATTTTGAAATTAGGTTAGCATTAGCCTCCCCCTAGAACAGCAAACCCCCAAACTTGTTAAAATGATCCAGTTGGCTTGGTATAAAAGATAAAGTAGCACCCTGTAAAAGAATCAGCTCTGGGAAAGACATTAGAAACCACCCTTGCAGTGGGCCTACCCTCATACTGTGCATGTTAAATGCTTGTTCTGTCTGGGGTACCTTTAATTGCAGGTTTACTTGCCTTATCCTTCTGTCCTGCGACCGGTATCACAGCTACTTCTCTTCACACTTAGAATTCATTATGAACAATGCAGAAACAGTCCCACACGGCACACTAAGGCGCCAGGGGCCCAGCCACACGCCGGAGCACCAGAGTAAGAGGAGAGCACTGGCTGCCGGGGGGTGTTAAAAACTGATTTCTAAATGATAACCTAGCTAAAGTGAGCATTTAACCCTTGCAGTGTGGGGAAAGCCCCACAACATAGGCAGTTCAGCTTTAACATTGCACCTTAAAGAGCTCCAGGCGCCACTGCTATCCATCACATGTACAATTTGTCCCCTGCTTGGCATCATGGTTCCCCCTGCTGACTCCTACATCACCATGTCCAGTAGTCAGCAGGACAAACCACAGAGCGTCAGGGAACATGCTATCCAACACAGTCGGAATTGTCGCATAGCAGTGCCCAGTGTTCTTTAAGACATTAAAGATTAAAACACACCATCCAAAAGAAAAAGGGTTGTTTTTTTTGGTTTTGGTATGGTGGCAGGGTCCATTTAAGGGCTCGTTATGGGGCACACAGCAAGTACTGGCAGAGGGTTAAATATTAATGGACAGGGTAAAGTTTAAGCATTTAGTGTTGGGGAAGGAGTTAAATGTTGAGGACTCTTTAGAAGAGATGTAGAAATTCTTGAAGGTAGGTCATAGTTAAGGGCTTGCAGTAGACACAATGAAGCGAAAAATCTGGAGCAGCTGTGCTTAGCAACCAGCTTCTCTCATTTTTAAATCTTAACTGAACTGAAGAGAGAAGCCAATTGGTTGCCATGCACATCTGCTCCAGATTTTGTCTGCTCCAGTTTTGATAAATTCCCTCCAATGTTTCTAAATAGACAGGAAAACAGGAGAAATCATCCAAAATGGGGGTCACAGGCGGCAAAATAAAATGTACACAAATTCCAACCTTTCTACACTAGGAAGATTTGAAATCTAAATGTAGTGGCTGCATTAATTTTTTCTTTATTTTCACCTGGTGACCCTGCCAGAAACACTTCCTGTTCTAGGATGACAACGATCACTCACTGTACTGCATCTATGAATAAGCAATGTTGGCAACAATGTCGACTACGAATGCCTCCACTCTTCATTACACAGGGAGGTGTTCTCTTGGAGTTCAAAGAAGGTACATGGGAAAACTGATAAAATCGTTTGAGATTTAAGTTCAGACCACAGGAAGTTGCAAGGGCACAGGAATTATTTTTCGTAGGCATGCACCAATACCAGTTTTTCAGTATCCAACACCGATTTTTTTCGGTACTCGCCGATACTGGAAGTCCCATTAAGGGTGCCGGGTTGCATGTAATGACTCGCTGCCCGGCTTTATCATCAGCCAGAAGACTGGCTCTATGCTCCCTCATCACCAGGTGACTAGGAAGCATGGAGACAACTTTCTGGCCAATCAGAAAGCCAGACAGCGAGTGAGGGAGCATGGAGCTGGTTTTTCGGCCAATCATGAAGCCAAGCGACAGTAATGACTTGCCGCTTGGCTTCCTGATACGGGAAGTTCTGGTATCAGGATAAGAATCAGGAGCATTTGGGCGCTTACAAGTACATGCCCAAATACTCTGTCGGCATATCCCTTCTTAGATAACCAGTTTTTTTTTTCTTCTACTTGTAGAAAGTGTTCTTAGCCTAAAACAAATGCAGCCACCACAACTGGTGAGCTACAATATATAATTTTTTTGTTTTTGGGCAGCATCAGGAAATCGTAGAAGAAAAAGTCATGCTGTTTGTGAGGAAGCTGAAGCTTGAGTGTCATTGGACCTTCCAACAGGACAGTTTACAGTACCCCAAGCATACCTCAAATTCCACCAAGGCTTGGTTGCAGTAGAAGTTCTGGAAGATTCTACAATGGCCCCCAGTCACCCGACTTGAATCCCATAGAAAATCTCTGGTTGGATTTGAAGGCAATTTTAGCACGCAAACCCAAGAATATTAGTGAACTGGAGGCCATTGCTCATGAGGAATGGGCTAAGAATCCTCAGGAATGCTGCAAGAAACTGGTGTCTGGCTATGCATCCTGTTTACAGCAGGTCATAACAGCAAAAGGGTCCACCAAGTACTAAAGATGCTTGCCATGAAGTGGGTTAAATCATTTTGAGACTTTAGATCATTAAAAGTTAAATGATCTGTTGAATTTGGGGAAACCACTTGACACATTCGCTGTTTTGACCTAACTCAGTAGCTTTTGTTTGGTTTATTGCAAACAGCCTGTAAATGTTGCCAATACACCTGATTTGCAATGGGGGTTGAATAATTTTGATTACAACTGTAGATATCCTTTACGAAATCAAATCCAGCCATACCTTTGTTTGATTGACCATCCACTGTAGAATTAAATTGACATCCCAGAGTTGCCAGGGCTACTGCCTGCTCCACACATGGCTTCCATTATATTGCATTTTGTAGAGTGGACAAATAAAGCATGGAGCCTGTCAATTTCCTAGAGCTAACCTTGCTCATGAAGAACTAATGGATGGCTGAAGTGAATAGTGGTTACACCCATGAAGTGGCTGCCTCCATTAAGTATAAGTGACAGGTACATTTATGTACACTATAGTGATTAAATTACAACAGGCTCACTTTGCACCAAGACAGATAAGAATCATAATTTACTTCCTGCTCCTTGTATGTGATTAGCCAGCCTGTCTTACCCTTAGGGCAATCACCAGATTTATCTGGAAAGGCAGCAGATGGAAAAGGGCACCCAACCATATCAGTGTGATTGATTATATACCACAACGATCTTAGGACATTTTCCAGGGGATACAATACATTTATTTTCAGTTGTATGCTCTTTAAAGCGTATCTAAACCCAAGAACAAAAATCTCATATGCTGCTGCCTACCAGTTCCTAGATGTAGCGGCTGCATTAGTTCTTTTTTTTGGCATTATTCCCATTATTTTTACTTGGTCACTCTGCCAGTAACACTTTGTCTGTAAATTCCAAAAAGCCGCACTTTGATGCCATAAGTGCAATAAAAACACTTTTTTACCTCCAACAAAATACCGCCCAGTCTGCCCCCTCCTGCTAGGTCTGCTCCGTTCTGGTATGTTTCACAATAAACTGGCTTAATTGTAGAAGATTTCTATGATTAAGCCCGTTTGTGGTGAAACACGTTAGCACAGAGCAGACCTCAGGAGGGACCGAGTGGAATCCTGTTGGGGAATCTATTGAATTTGTGGCATCAGAGTGCAGTTTTGTGTGATTTACAGTCTGAACAAATTAGGAGTGTAGATTAGTTCTATGAACGAGCACCCGATTACTCTCTGTACTGGGCATTTTCTAACAGCAGGAAAGGGTGGTGGTGTGGGGGGATTTTCCTCATATGTTGCCAACACACTTCCTGTCCTAGGGTAACAATGCTGACTCTCTTTAATATCTCTAGAGGAGCAGTGTTGTCTCCCTAAAGCTGGGTGCACAGTTACGAAAATGACAAGATTCCTTTATTCACGCCAAAAGCATGGCTGAACAAACCACTCACACTGTACATTGTAGTATAACAGTGGAGCCCAGCACTGTCAGAATAGTCAATGTTTGTAGCTTATTGGCTGCAAGCACTGGTAGACAATATTCTACTAGGTCCCTTCGACAAAAGTCGATCTAATTACACAGTTATTCAAATACTGTAACTGTGTAATTAGATCGACTTTTGTTCAACGTGTGTGTGTGTTGTGTGTGTATATAAGAGTCCCTGTGTGGTCCAGTATTTGATTTTTGAATGAAGCAATATTCTTTGCAGATGCCACTGTTCCAAAATGTAACCGCTCTAACTGAAAAAGAATCCCCTACGCCCTTTGTGGATAAATCTTTTCTCTACCAATTTTAGGTGGTGGCCTCTAGTCCTTGTTAGACTGGGCACACACCTTACAACCATCGCAAGACTTTTGTCTTGCGATGGTTGTAAGGTACTTAAAAAACACGTACGATCTGCCTATCTTGCATAGGCAGATCGTACTTGCGATGATCGCAAGCCACGCCCCGAGGGGCGGGCTTCCGATGACCGCAATGCCGAACGGGCAGTGTGCGCTTGCGCACACCGGCCCGTACGGCTGTTATCGTACGGACATGCCACAAACCCGCAGAACGTCGTACGATGCTCGGCGCGTTTTCGAACATGTCCGTAAGTTAAAAGTCGTGCGACCTTACAGTAGTAGAGGTCGCACGGCTTCCACACACCTTACGATAATCGTACAATCGTACGATTATCGTAAGGTGTGTGGGGACCTTTATATTTTTTTAAAACTTTTGTTGAGCAGACAGGACCACCCATGGATCGAATTTCAGGCCAATTCCTGCTTCATTGCCCCATATTTAATCCATGTGTACCCAGCTTTAGACAGAATGTATGTTTGAAACAGAACAACTTCCCTGATCTCCATAACATGGAGTGAGGTGGTTTGTAGTCCACAAGTGGAGCTGAGAATAATGCTAGCTAACTTCCAACTGAGGCAAAAACAGGAAGTTACAAGCTCACACAAATTCTGGCAGGATCAATAGGTATTTTTGCACTAAGAACCAGATAGAAGAGTCTTCAATGGTATATTTAACACACTGAGGAGCAGAGAAGTTAATTTTCAGGGTTTGCATAAACAAAAACACCATTTTGTTAACTTGTATATGTCCTCTCTTCACCCAGAGCCGACAGATACCAGCTAGGAGTACAAATCTGGCTCACAGTGGGAGTGCCTGATGATGGGTAAGAAAGGCAGAACTTCAGTGAGGCTCAACCATAAGCCAACCTATGTAGTGATGTTTAATGGCATTTAAAAGAACCTTAAAAAGAGAACTATGAGGCGAGTGAAAATCACTCAGCCTCATAATTCGAGCCGACGTGTGGCAATGAAACTGTCACAGGTCGGCTCAATAGATCGGGAAGTGAGCGAACACATACCGTCGCTCTATCCTGTCACTCACGGCTCCATGCATGGATTCCCCCCCCATCCCCGATTCTCCAGCGCTGACTGGCGGAACGGACGGGAGAGGGGGCAGGTACAGCTGGCTCTGCCTCTAGGATGGCAGAGCCAGCTGTCACTCACGCAGCCGTGTGGATCCAGACAGTATTGTCGGGATCCGTCCCGGCTGCTGCGTCTCAGTATACCGTGAGCTGTAGCTGGTGACGGGACGCTGCTAGTTTGTGTCCTCCCGTTACCCATAGGAGAACTATGGGGAAAAGCACTGACCCCATAGTTCTCCTTTAAAGACTTGAAAGGAGTCCCAGCATACACTATCTGGTCATAACATCACCATTGTAATAGGAATACATACTAGAGTTTTTTTGATAATACAATCAAAGGTTACGTGAAAATATAAAGCAATATAAGTTGTAAAATTAAGGTTTTACCTTCTCTGTAATGATACGATCCACACACTGTTTACCAGTAAGCGGCAAGTTACATTGCCCCAAAATTTTGTGCGCTCCTCCCTGTAATAAAGCAGAGCTTGTTTTATTTAGAACACACAGGTAAAAGTGAAATCATTCAAAAGCAGTCTTTAGCAATACTGTACATGCACTTTGTTTGGAAGTCAAAGCTTTACCTAGGAAACTGGTTTGTATGGACGCTAATAGATTACATCTCCCATAAGGCAATATAAACCTTTGTTGCCCTATGCTCTCCCTGGTTCTGAAGATTTCCAGTTCTTCATGGGTACCTATGAAGAGCTCTTTTCAGCCATATTAAAAAAAAGGAAAATCAATGTACATCTGTACTTTGTATACAACCTTGCGACATGGTCTAATTTTGTGAAGAACGGCTTTTGGTTTAAAGGTGGGCATAGGCCCAAATATCTCTCCAACAAAACATTTAAAACCCAAACTTTTTTTGTTCATTTTTATTTTGGATAGACTGAAAAAGGTTAGAACCGCTGAGAGGTTTTATAGTCGTCTGCGTGCCCCCGAGTAGAGACATTAACCCCCTTTTATTTGTCCAAATCCAAAATGGAGTTTTCACCAGAACACACTGGAAGAAAAAGTGCAGTACAGCACGGTCTATTTACAGGAACTAGGCACAAAGAGTCCGGGACAAAAAGTTCATAGCAGGAGATATTGTAGATCTCCAAACAAATGCAATTTTGTATAGGAACCCCATGTGTACCACAGGACAAGAAAGCGGTTGATCTTGCCTTAATTGGCAACAGCATGCCAACTGCTGCCAGGGAAAATGAATGGAAATGTTTAAAAAAACTGTCCTAGTTACCATTTTTAACTGGGAGTGGCCTCAGAATGTAGATGCTACCAGAACTATCTCAATAGAGTGGAAAAGGAAAGACACTGCTAAGTCACACAAAACTTTCCAAGGAGGCCAAGTCTTTTTGCCAAATCTCTTCTGCCCAAAAATAATTGTTCTTCCCACAAGCAATTTTTATTTCTCTGTGTACACTGTACTGCGCATAATGCAGTGCAGTGTACATTGGCTCATTCCCAGCATCGGTCATATCAAGAACTGAGCTGTGTGCCAGAGACAAATGCAACTTCAGCAGTCATGCAGACATTAAAATCATCTGACTGAAGGGCTGAAGATGAGCAATGGGCAACCTGGAAGAAGCAGCAGAGAAGATGGCGGTGGACAGAATAGACTTGAGTTATGCTTCAAGGCTTTTTTTGGTTGAATGAAAAAAAATAGATCAGTGTATGGCCAGCCTTACGTGCGTGTGTATAGACTTTAGAGTTATGCTTCAAGGCTAGGTTTTACTCTTTACCCACTGTTGTAAAATAGAGGGCGCAATACCTCAAGCTGCATTTTACACACGCACGTAAGGCTGGCCATACACTGATCTACTTTTTTCATTCAACCCACGGGCTGAACAAAAAAATAATAGACCAGATTCCTGCATCAAACACTAACAGTGTGTTGATCAAGGAAACCTTGCTGTTTACATACAGTGGCTGCCGACACCTGTCAGAATACCCGACCAAAGCAGGCAGCTCACTGGCTGCCGGCTGATCGCTCGAAAATGTTACGGCAGGCTCCTTCAAAATCAGCTGGATCTAAACAGACTGATGTCAGTTTGCATCCGGTTGCCCCTGGCTCCGGCCAGGTCCGGGGAAAAAAAAAACAACAAAAAACAAAAAGAAAAAAAAAAACCCACACGGAACAGTGCTTCATTTTGCTAGGCCTGATCGTGCCGGATCAGGGCAATCTGATGTAAGTTGACATGTCTGTTTACATCTGATTCCCTATAGACAGACATGGGTCCGGTCATTTAAGTTTTTTCCTCCATCGCAAGATGGAGGAAAAAACTGGACAGACCTGGATGTCACAGCGATAACATGGTAGCGAACCGCTCTGATCAAGAGAGGATGCTTGTATGGATCGCCTCCTGATTGGATAGTGTGAAAGGGCCTTAAAAAGGTGTATTAAAAGAAAAACAAAACATACAAAAAAAGCCCACATCCAGTGTCATCCTAAAGCTGCCTCACATGCAGTATATTTTTAAGGTCATTCTTTAGATTGTCCGGTAAGTTACACAATACACAGGTTCCCCATGATGCTTCTGAGCAGCTTTAAAGTTACCACTGTTTTCAGCATCATTGTACTGGTTGATGCAGGGCATTGGAAAGATTTACCCACAGGATGCCCTTCACTCACAGGAAATTGGTTTAATGACAATGGGGTCATTAAAGTTTTCTTTTACAAACTGATCTGAATACAGATATACTATACGGTCTACTGGGAAGACACACTTACTCTTACAGTGGTAGCCTTTACTTTAAAATCCAGCACAACACAAGGGGCCTCTTTGCGAGCCTGCCACTGACAGTTATGCAAAACGACTTTGCCAAAGAAGATCAACCCAAGAACAGATAACTGGTCTAACAGATCATTAATGCATTCAGTAAGTTACAACAGAGCATATTTCTGGAGCACCACGGCTGTAACGGACAGTTTGTACTTATTCAGCAACATCTCTGCTATGCTGGCAAGGAACAAGAGAAGCTTCGTGATAAGCTAAATGGCCATTTCAGGTTTTTGTCTCCCATATTTAGGGAAATCAAACCCTGTAAGCAGAACCTCTAAATCAACATTTGAATAAACTGAAATAAAATGTGACATTGCAGTTAACCAAGTGGTTAAACTGAGGCCTAGTAAAAAAAAGTTTATCTGGATTTAGCATTGTACATTAGAAAGTAGGACACGTCACATAAATCAGAACCCGGAGGAGATTTCTCACAAATTAAGATAAGAAAAGCATGTCCTTCCATCTTAATGAGGCATGATGCATCATAAGTCACAGGGCCAAGGGGCCATAATCTGCAATTAATCTGAACTTCTTCATCTTGACAAATGAACACAGATCACAGATGCCACGTTGGATGCGTTTGCAGAGCGATTGGTAAGCACTTCTTAATGTCACTTCAGATGTTCCTACATCATGTCTGAATTATTGCTGACAGCCCAGAACTGTACATTCTTGTGTGACTGTGGTAGGGATATTAAACGCCACCATCCCCTGATGCACAGGCCAGAATGCTTATATGTACCATTTAAGAAGATGTATAATACAGTACAATGGCGTTAAATCACAAAAATAAAAATAGATGTTGCCGCAGGCAACAGCCACACTCTACTTTCTGCCAACGCAAAAATGAAAGCAACTAGATAAATGGCATGCATGCATATTTAGGCAAATGGGGTATTAATTTGGCAATGCACATGAATACATATACTTTTGTTATACGGGTTGCAACAATAAGCCAGATGTAGAGGAAGGCAATTCTTACAGTACAGAATTTAAAAAATGAGCAAAACCTCATGTATGCTACAATGTCATTTTATTTTGGAGCAAGGATGTTTTGTTGGCAATATACAGTGTAGCAAATCGGCAATGGAATTGATATTGGTGTGTGTACATAAAAATTGGAAGTAAATCATTTTTTTTTTTTTTTTAATTGCCAGCAGGTAGGTTTTACAGAAGACCACACTTTTATATGCCATAACAATTTACAAATTGAACACCACCAACCACACATTTACAGTGTACAATTCCAGCATTGGTAAGTAAGTGCCAGTCAACAGGATGTGGGCATGCCAACGAGTTAAAGGTGACACTAAACACAGGAGTTCGGTACTTGAGTTAAGGATCAACTATTAACAAAAATGTTTCTTGTTTGTGTATCACTCAGCTGTAGATCCTCAAATCGTCTCTGAATTGGTGCTGGCACTGTCCTTCCTTCTGGAGGGTGGCTACTTTTCGTCCCCATAGTCCCTGTGTGTTGTAAAGTAGTCACCGCTCCAAGATCATTGCCGTGATCACACCACTCTCCGTTAGGGTTGCCACCTTTTCTTCAAGTGAAACCCGAACACACGCTAGGATATTCAAGGATATTAGTAAACTACCGTGAGGTTGTAGTCCATCACGGAGGCAAATTTGGAGCAGTGGCTACTGTACAGCACATACAGGGACCATGGGGAGCAAAAAGTACTCATCCTTCAGAAGGAAGGACAGTGTCAACATGAATTCAGAGATGATTTGAGGATTTAGTGCGGAGTGATACACAAATAAGATACAGTTTTTTTAATAGGTAAAGTACTTGAATGCATTTTAAGATTTAATTCCCAAGTTTAGTGTCACTTTGCCCCCCTGGGACAGCAAAGGATGACTTAAAGACTGTGTACCAGGAAGAAGGTCAGGAGAAGAAGATGGAAGCACTTGTGACAGAGCAATGGAGGGGGCAACGAGAACATTTCATTGCTGAAGTAGAGCCTTTTGCATGGCAATTGTGCCATAAAGTGCAAACTTGCACATTAATGTTAAGAGCCCCCTGGGGGACCTACAAAAAACAACTAAATTCCATACAGCGTGCTCATCTGTGCCTAAACAAGCACCCTGGATGGACAGGCGCTGCTGTAGCCTCCTGTATGATAGGATGTGCAAGTTTGGGTTATCAAGTAGCAGTGTGTGGCCACATCCTTGACAGATGTACAGGCGGCTGCACGCAGCACATATCCCTCCTGGGCATAGGTTTCTGCACACTGTATACGTCAGTGTGAATAAAAGGTCCTAATCAGATTTCCTTTTATCCACCATGTGAAAGCATTTTGGTTTTACTCACTACAGAGAATGGTCACATGCTGGAGGGGGGTGACATCACAGCTAACTGAGGTCTGACAACAGGTATTTTGAGGGTCCCATTGACAAAGGTGTAACGGTATTGCTGGTGAATAAAACGTGTTCTGTGCATGGAGATGTCGCAGATAGTGTCCTTCTGTCCTGTACGGGGAAAGTGACAAGGTCCTTGAACAGGTCAACATTCTCTAAATGCCAAATTGAACCAAAAACTAGGTGCAAAAAAATTATGCGTATATAAAAATGTAGGTTATACATACTTTCTCATATACAAAAACTAGGGATGCACCGATAGAGTATTTGGGCGAGTACTCTTACTCAACCCAAATGCTCCGATACTTACCTCCGATACCAGAA